TTAAAAAGATTTTTTGCTCATTTTATGGGTTTTTTTTTTTTGTCAAGTTAACTGCTTTTATACTGTAGTTAACTCGCCGACATGGTATGACGAAAAGCCGGCAAAATCCTCCAATAGAGATGGGAACAAAAAATGAGGATGTTGATTATGAGTGGATTCCAAGAACAGTCATGAATCATAAAAACAGTGAGTTGTTTAATATAATTTTTTAATGTAATAACCAACAGTTGTTTTTGCTATTAATTGTTTCTTGTGCTGCTATGAGTTACTTAGCATCTTTCTTTGTGGAACGAAATTGGTTGTTTTTTCAGCCAGATCACCAAAACAGGGTTCTCCAAAGCACAGGAAGCCTCGCAATGAAAATTGAAAGTGTTGGTTCGTTTTCTTCGCTTTTTGATAAGCACCAATTACTTGAACGGTATAGAAGTGATATAGGATATTTTTAAAGGAAAAAGAAAACGATTTTTTTGTTGGTGCGGCTAAACGTTTTCCCCTAGAATTTGTCTGTCGTTTTAGCCCTAATGGCACATTTTTCAAATATATTTTTCTGTAGCTGACTTATGCGTTAGTTTCTTTACAGCAAAGTATGGAAATTCTGAAACTGTAACTTCTTTTGAATTCCTACACTAAGCAAAAAAAAGTAAAGACCATTATATCTTTCTGATTCTTTTTTGACGGGTTGAACAGAAGTTTGGGCGTTAAAATATTTTTATTTGCTCTGTATTGTAAAAATCTTCCCTCTTGCGCAGCAACTGGATGTCTTTTTGTATATTTTTGTAAGAGTTGCAAATGGAACTTGTTATTTTGTTTACTTTTGTACGTCTAGTTGTTTCTATCAAGTCGTGGTTTTAATTAACGTATTATTGTATTTATTTGTCGGATTCATTCTTTGTTGCTCTGTTCCTCATTGTTTCCGGAGTTATGACTTTACCGTTGTGAAGGTAAAGATTCAAAATTTTTAGTTTTGTTGGGCTGCTCAAAGATGTGTAACATTAGAAGGAAGTTACGTGCTAGTGCCGTCAGAGTGATCCCTTCTTTCGTTAGTTTTTTAATCGCGGTACGGCCTGTATTCGTGAGACCTAGCCTTTAACTTCACAGTCAAATTCCATTTGAAGTCTTTTTTGAAGAGCTGATTGGACTGCTGGAGTAAACGTAGTTTTCAATTAAGTTTTTTTTAATGGTGCGTTTCGTGATTGGTTACTCCTGTTGTTTTAAGGTTAATTACTAACTTTTCAAGCCCCGGACTTTTTAATGTTTTCTCATTTGCTAAAGGCCCTCAATCTTTTTTTTTTAACTTCCAGACCCACTGGCTAAAGAAAGTTTCCGTTTTCCAGCTAGTGGTCGTAGTCCGTAAGTTACTTATAAGGAGGAGTTGTTCAAGCGTAAGCACCAAAAAGTTTTTAGAAGTATTGGAAGAGTAAAGGATAGTGGACTTGTGACGGGAATGTTTGCGGTTTGCCACTTCCGGAAATCGCTTTGCGGGGCTTTCATTAATTCTTATTGTAATGATGTCTTGTGT